CACTTAGCACTACATGGCACAACGAATCTCCATAACTAGTACTTGCCGCTACGGTTGCAGCGTAGCGTGACATGGACTGCTTGGACAGATTTGAGTACGCTGGCTGGCCGTCTGGGCAGTGTTGGTGCCAACACAAGCAAGCGCGGCCTTCCTCCTAGAAAACAGCCCGAAGGAACCCCCGCGAGTGGCTTGTACCTCGTAATAAGCCTAGCATTCGAAGCTTGCAAGGAGCCACTACCCCCCGGAAGGTTCCCTTCGAATAGCATTGTTTCTCACTGTGCCCCACGGAAAAGCGAAAAAGCACAGCTGCCAATGGCAAAGCAGAAACAAATTCTTGAAAAAGGTTGCAGGCGCATTAGTGAGAGTGGAGAAGACCAGGTGCAACCCGCACTTGGGATGACTGACTGGAAGGGCATGGGCTTTTACAAAAGAGATGTGCTCACGTCCTCTTGCAGCTGCTGTACTCGCCGGGCCTCGCATTCCCGCAAAGCCCCTAGAAGCAACAATGTCTCATAACGCTGCACCGAATCTCAGCACAACACACTGCCGCCGTCCTCACAAGACAGCTGGGTCTCTTGCTGCAGCTACTGCTGTTACAAGGGAGAGACTTACGCGTCCATAGAACCTTGCGAGAGAGAAGGCAGCAAGAACAAGTAGCAGCAGCAGGAAGCAGGAGCAGCAGCACAGCACGAAGCCAGTGGTGGTTGTGGCAGCAGCCGCTGCTATACTGCAGCGGACATCCAGAGCATTGTTCCCCTGAGNAAGCCAGTGGTGGTTGTGGCAGCAGCCGCTGCTATACTGCAGCGGACATCCAGAGCATTGTTCCCCTGAGTAGAGTGGGCAGGAGCACAGTCAGAAACACCACAATCAGCATGCGACACCAAACAAGCCTGCTGCAATCACTTAGCCATGCAAAATCTGTGCATCATGCATACGGTATCCAGCAGCAGCTCTTCTTTGCTTATCAGTCACGCAATAGTGAAGGAACCTTGAGAAGTACCGGCGAAACGCACCTGCTCCAACTGCCGCTGCTGACGCGCGAGGGGCCGCAGAAGCTCTACAAATGCCATGCTGCGCTGCATCGACAACTCTAAGGCCTCAATACCTGCAGCTGCCTGCCGCAGAAGAATCATACCCGCCTCATTGCGTTCTTCTATGAACGCATGAGCAGCATCTGCAGCAGCACGACACACGGTCAACACGGAACAAGCAACAGTTTTAGATCATTGTCTCAAGCTAGTACCAGCAAAAGTACGCAGCAACTAGGCCACGAAGTACAAAAGGAGTCTCACCGACTCGGCGTGCGAGAGAAAATATTGACAGAAGGCGGGCGGTGGACTTGGGGGAGATCAAAAGTCCAAACCTGCAGCCACAGAGCAGCGAGTTGATGCAACCACACTGTAATACTTGGTGCATAAATAGCTGGGTTCTAAAGTTTTGCAGCTGCGCTTTCCATCCCACTCAGTTACTAAAACTGAGGCAGTACCTGTTCAGGAGGTCCTTAT